GGGTGGTCGCTGCTGCACTCGTAGTGGCGGCCCTGGAAGCCGCGGTCCTCGTAGAAGGTGATCTGCAAGGCAAGGGAGGGAAAGGCTCAGAGGCCTGGCCCCAGGCCCCAGCGTGCGGGGCCCCGCCCTGGCCTGCGGCTGCGCCGGGCTCACCTTCCCCATGGCTGGTGACGGAGGTCAGTGATGGGCCGCCGTGGCGCGCGTCTATATAGCAGGAGGCTGCTGCGTTGGCAGGAACAACACAAAAGGGGCCCGCGGGGTGAGGAGGGGATTTTCATGTGCTCTTTTTTCTCTTTGCTGTTCTAGTCCACGGGGCTCATTGTGGGTTTTGGTCCCATTCTCTCTGGAATGTTCAGGTTGCTATCACTGGCTAATGCTGTTGAGACAGTTTGGAAAAAAAAAAAAAAAGGAATTTGGAACATGGTTGATTTAATAATAGAAATAGAGCTTCAGCCATTTCATATATAGTCTACACTTTTATTTATATGGGTTGGGGGAAAACAAAAACGTGTAAATGAGGGAGCAATAAAAAAGCAAAAATATATAGTAAATATAAAATTAATCTATCAGAACTGTCAAGGAACATGTGTGCCACAATATTCAGTACTAATTGTTAATAGGAAGAAAGTGACATTAATAGAATGTTGATAATTTCAACTTAGTCCTTTAAGAGAATTTTCTTATTAAGGAGTATAAGAAATTGGAATGTTTTACCAAGGGAATTCACAGAACTTCAAACTTGCAGTATGGTAAAAACAAAAACAAAAACCAGCCAACCAATCAAACAAACAAACAAACAAAATCCCAGCAAGCAAGAATATTCAGTATTTGATCTGAGTTTGTTACAGCCTAGAAGTAGACTGAATTCGTTACAGTGTATAGAAGTAAACAGAGGATTAGATGTTTTTTCTTGGCTAATTGTAATTAAAAAGGGAGAAGAGTTTTAAGAACTCTTTTTTTTTTTTTCTCAGAAAGAATTAAAAGGGAAATTTCTAATTTGGAAGAAATAAGAAAAAGTTAAAACACAAAAATTGATTACTTACCTCTCAGGTTATTATAAAATAAAACCAAATTCCTGAGAAATCCATTTTTAGTAGGAATCTAGTTACACTTTTTCCTTTGGGGAACAAGAGTACACAAAGCTTTTGACTCAAAAGAGATTCATTGCATGAACACAAAGAGGAGCTACGGCTAAAATGGTGTGGGGAGAGGAAGGAATAAATCTGGAAGCTGAGACTCTAGGAAGACTTTAGAGAGTGTTTACTAGGCTGGAAAGAATAGTTTGATGGACTGGAAGGAGCACTGGAGTGGAAGATAACCTATGCCTTTAGGTCATGTTCAAAGAATTATTCACAGTCCTGTGTTGTCTCGTGGAAATACTTTGTCTTGACGTTGGGTCATAAGTCTTTGTAAGTTAGTATTTTTAAATAAAACACCAACTATGTACATATGATGATTTCAGTTCTTGTTATCCACTATAGATAGACATGTGTTTGCAAAATTACTTCTGTTTACAGAGTGGAAAGTAAACAGCCCAAATCAAAAGAATTAAAAAAAAAACCCTACATCATTTTAATTAACCATTTAAAAAATAATAATTAATAAAGTAAAAGTTTTGGAATTGTCATTTTGCTCAGAGTTGTTTCTGTGGGGAGAGTGTTGATTGATAAAAACAGTAAAATATGAGAAAGAAGTGAATGCAGAGTCACAAAGAAGATTTAGGGGAGCAGGGTGGGGATGGCTGGGGGTACCACCACCACCACAGCCTACGTGCAATTACAGATTTGAGATACATCTGGAGATCGAAAACTTGGGGACTCTGGGTTCTAAAAAGAGAAAAGGCTTTATTTCAGCTTGGGGAAAAGAAAAAAGAAAGAAACAAACAAAAAACAACTCACAGTTTTCATCGAGCTGAAAACTGAATGGTTTGGACCAAAATGCGGCTTGATTGTAAAGCTTTACAGAAAATTCCATCATTGACCAGTGTGTGTTCAACGAAAGCCCCAACTTAGTGTGCTAAGTGAACAGCCCCCACTTAGTGTGCTAAGTGAACAGAAGTTAAGACTCAAGAATCCTTCCACCTATAGCCCTAAAGCAGAGTTCTATATGAGTTGCCTGGAATGACTGATGAGGACCGTCTTTGGAAGAAGAATAAGAGGTAAGTGTGAGGTACCCTCATCCTGAGCTCTAGTCCAGCAGGGAACCTGTCACTCCTAAATATTCAGATGCTTTCAAACAAAAGTGAAGACAAAAGACAGGAATTCAGGTTAGAGTTTTGCTGCATACAGAGTCAAAGATTTCTGTAGCTGCTATAAATGTCAGTCTCCAAAATGAAGTATATAAGAAATACCATTTTCCTTATCTTCTAGAACTCAAAATATTTTATGACTCTAAGTCTCATTTCCACTAGGATGGAGAGAAAATTTCACCGTAGTCATTGCTACGTGCATTGTTTCGTCATCTCATGTTCCCAGGCTCCATGGCTGGGTTCTGTGGGCTTAACATGAGAGCAAGTCATTTCATGGGGGGAGAGGGTGCACTGGAAACTCCCGTGCTGTCCTTGATGGTGACTCTCCCCAGCTTTGACACGAGCGTGGAAATAAGAACTGGCAGCCCTGAGGGCTGTGGAACCAAGATGTATTTTATTTGACTGGCACAATGTTTAGATGTTCTCCAGGATGCTGTGGGTTGGTTTGCACTTTCCGCAGCTCACCATACTTTTCATCACTCCTTGTGGTCTTGAAAGAAGTTGTTTGCTCATTTACATTATCTCTCTGGTCCCTGAAGGCATTGAGCTGCAACCTCAAATAAGCGTCTTCAAACTCTGCTCAGTTTTTGCCAAAAGAAAACACTGTACATCAGAGCAAATTCCCAAGCGTTCTTCCTTGGTCTGAGTCATACTTTATTAGGAACTTGTGTATTTGGTGTTAAAATATCCTTTTGTAAATGTCTCTTCTTTTACAAAATGATGTATGAATAGATGGTGCTTAGTTTTACAGTTTTGTTTTCTTTTTAATCTTAAAAGTCCTTGCTTGGTGAAATAGAAATAGGCAATCCTATGTTGGTCTCTGTTTAAAGAAAACTGGTCTGGGAAATCCAAAATACTGAGAACCATATGATTTGATATCCTGATTTAAATCATTTGGTATCATAAGAAATATGTAAATAAATATTACTCCATTTGTTTCCCCCAGAAATTTGTCTTGGGATGACTTTAAAGTACTAAATGAAAGTACTTGATGGAAGTGTTTACATATGTGTTATTTTGTACTTGAGAAAGTACTTGACTTTAAAAAGTGACTACATGCTTACTGTTTAGTGTATGCATTTCATATTATTTCTGTGTAGGCCTCCGTGGTGGTGGGGACAATGCCTTTTATTTGTCTTGGTTGTTTTTTCATCCCCAATGCTACACATGACAGGCTCATTGTAGGTGCCTGGTAAATGATAAAGATACTAACTCAAAGAAATTAGGATCTTTGGTGGCTAACAATTGAGCAGAGTCTATTAAAATTAAAAATCTCTTGTGTTATCATTGGGCAGTCTCACTTCTAGGTCTCTATCCTCTAAAATTTATGGCTTGTGTAGACAAAGGTATACAGACAATGATATTCTTTGCAGCCTTGTTTGTAAAAGGAGCATTGGACAAGCCCAATCACCAATGGGTAAATGCTAAAATAATCTAGGGAACCTTCAAATAATGGAACACAATGCAGTCCATTAAACAGAAGAAGGTGCTGACCTAGATCTATGTCTGTATCATTTTGTATGTTAAAAGCAAGTTGCAGACCAATATGTACAGTATGATTCTACATGCAAATAAGTAAGTACATGCAAATAAGTAAGTAAATAAATAAAAAGAATGTTTCGTGAGATATATAGAAGGAGAAAATTCAAGAATGGTGTCCACCAAGTGTAAAGAAGGGTTAACAATGAAGAGTGGGATCAGAAGGACCCTCTCCACTTCTTTATAGAATTTGTAAAGTAGTAGGATTATAGGAGGCTTTTATTTTGGAGGAAAATTTTTAAAAATAAGTTCTCTAATGATGATAAGATTTTTAATTTTTTTTTTTTTAAACTTGCAGGACTTTGCTTGTGAGCAAGCAGATTTTGCTTTAACTGAAGTCTATTTAAGGGCACCTGGGTGACTCAGTGGGTTAAGCATCTGTCTTCAGCTCAGGTCATGATTCCAGGGTCCTGGGATGGAGCCCCATGTCGGACTCCCTGCTCAGTGTGGAGTCTGCTTCTCCTCTCCCCCTGCTGCTCCCCTCTGATCACTCTCTCTCCTGCGTGCTCTCTCTCTCAAACAAATACATACATAAATAAAATCTTTAAAAAATCAAAATGTATTTAAAATAGTAACATATATCTCATTGATTTATTTGTATTATCTGCACTTCATGGAGGGTTTGGCCCAGGGAATATACACTGGTGCACTCAGGTCAGGAGGTATTTTAGAATAGGAGGGGAGATCTTTAACGGATCCAAAAGTATGGCAGTGTCCAATGGCAGCCTGGCCTTAGTTATGTCATCCTGTGTTCCAAAGTAAACAATACTGCAATTCCTTATGTAGTCTCATCAGGCTTTTTGCTAGATGGGGTTCTCATCACTGCTTGTCTGTGACCCTCTATGGCTTCCAGTCACCTGCTGGGTGAGAAGGAAACTCCTAGAATGCTGTTCCTCAGGGCCCTCCACGGAATGCCTCCTTCCTCACCAGTCACCCTCTCCCATTTTGCTATGTTGACCTCCCTTTCTTTCTTACACAGGCTACCTCCTCTTTCTGCCCCTCCTTCTGAGCCTGTTTCAGACTCATTCTACCTTGCAGAGCTTCTAGAACTGACCCTTCCCCACTTAGTCACTCCTCAGCCTTTATCAGGGAGCATTTACAGGTGAATTAATTGGCACACAGTGAAAGAAAAACAGAAGTCAGCAATTGCCAACAATACAGACTAAATACTTTATTAGGTTCCAAATTGAGAAAATGGTAGTGCAAACCTATTTCAGTATAAATCCACCGCCCTCCGCAAAGAGCCTGCCTTAGCATCCATGGCCCCCCAGTCGTGGTAGCGCCTGTATTCTTGGGGCCTCAGCAGGTACTGACGCCCCTGGTAGTTGGGAAGCTCGTAGAGGATCCAGCAGCCCTCCAGCACGTGGAGGGAGCGGACCTCACTCAGGCGGAAGCGGTCCTGGATGCAGGAGCAGTCCTCGCTCAACTCCGTCATGAGGCCTTTGTGGTCCTCTCTCTCATACAGCCGCAGCCTGTGGGAGCTTGCCTGCTCGGGCCACCAAGAGAAGGAGCAGAAGAAGCAACCAAACAAGTGAACTTGGTAGGTTGGGGCACGGGATCGCCCAGGTGAAAACCTGAGACTCTGACATTGCTGGGTATGTTGTGTATGGAGCGGTGTTCCACTGGCATTGAATACACGTTTGCATTCTCATTTTGTATTTCATATAGGACATCTACATTGTAAGAGGTTCAAAGTCTGGGTTAGAGTCCATCAAGAATTCAACTATCTTGACTCCTCATTCTCTAATGTCCATTGATTCCTAGCTGATAAGTCAAACATATATTTTGGGCAAAAATGGAAAGTATTTTCACTAATATTCTTTTTAAATGAGTATTTTTTTTTTTAGAATAATCGGAATGTTATCTCACAAATCTATAACTAAAGTTGGACTTTTAAAATCACATAGTTCCGTGAAAATTAGTTTAAATAGTCACTTGGAACCAGAATTCAACTGCTTTTCCAAATTAAGGGCAACTACCACTTGCAAAGTTGGACACAAACTTTGAATAGCCTCTATTAACAATAGAGTTTCCATTTTTTACTAGTCTGTAGTGGAACCCATCTAAGTCATTCATCACCAATTCTTTACTGTTAATTAAAGTTGCAATTTTACAATCTCAAGTTTTTAAAATGAATCTGTTCTCAATACAGCCTCCTTATGTCCACCCAGCTTCCCACGGGCAAGTTTTGTTCTGTATCCTGCTGTGAGAGTACATTTGTTACAGACAACTTTGTGATGGACATAATGGGAGCAAAAATTAACAATAAAGCAGACCCTTCCCATCAGTGAATTCTTCTTGTATGCTCTGCCGTTTTTGTGCATTTCTCTATCTGGGCTTAGGCAGTAGCTAAAGCCCACGTTACCCCTTAAGTGCTTTTAATGGCAAAACCTCCCTCCCCCTCACTGGTCAGTAATACAGTGAGGACCGGCAGGCAGCGGGATGGAGAACAGGTGAAGCTCACCTGGGGGATGAGACAGCAAGAGCGGATGGAGTCGCTGAAGCCCAGCCACTGCTGGTAGTCCGGGTAGTCCCCGCGCCGCAGGAAGTACTGGTGGCCCTGGTAGTTGGGGCGCTCATAGAGCATCCAGCAGCCGCTGTCCACGCGCACCGAGTTGCAGCGGCTGAAGTAGGGCTGCAGGTTGGGGCAGTCGCTGCTGCACTCGTAGCAGCGGCCCTGGAAGCCGCGGTCCTCGTAGAAGGTGATCTGCAAAGGAAGAATGAGTCCCAATTAAATCAGTGGCTCCCAAAGGATCTGGGACCGCCCCCCCCTTTTATTTAACTTGCATCCTGCTCACCTTCCCCATGGCTGGTTGACACGGATGTGCGAGTTCAGTGCGATGGGCCGGGAGCGCTGTGGGTCTATATAGCAGGGCTGCTGCTGAGTTGGCAAGAACAACACAAAAGAGGCCCCCGGGGGCGAGTAAGGGGATTTTATGGATCCCTTTAACGTGCTGCATTCAGTGGAAATGCCTGTAGAGTTTGCCTTCATTCTCTGGTATATTCCAACGCTGTTCTGGATATGTCCTAGTTTAGTCCCTAACTTGCTTTTATTTGCATTCTTAGTGTTTTCTAAATTTATCAGCACATCAATTTGAACTTTTGACCTGAAATTCATGTCTCTACGGATATGACTCCATTATGCCCCATGTATTTTCTGGGGGAAAAAATCTATGCCTTTATGGATGTGCTCCGCAATTCCAGAGGCTGTCTGTGATGTAGAATTTCACAAATACTGACCAATTTTCCTTGATGGCAGAGGTCACTGTAACTTAATTATTTTTTTTCTTTAAAGATTTTATTATTTATTTATTTATCTGACAGACAGAGATCACAAGTAGGCAGAGAGGCAGGCAGAGAGAGAGGGGGAAGCAGGCTCCCCGCTGAGCAGAGAGCCCGATGCGGGACTCGATCCCAGGACCCTGGGATCATGACCTGAGCTGAAGGCAGAGGCTTTAACCCACTGAGCCACCCAGGCGCCCCAATTCGTTTTTCTTTATATGATTTGCCAGTCTAGTGCAGGACACAGATCTGGATTCTGATGTTTTGCTAGTTTTGACTGTGGTGACCTGATGCTTTAAGACATAGCTACTAACTCCTCCTTGGCTGGGTCTACTTCAGGTACTAGAAATCAGCCCCTGGAAGTCAGCTTGTGATAAGAACCAAAGGGAAGGTTTCTATGATCAGTGGGTCCCAAACTGAGAAGGGTATTGCTTTTTGGAGTGCTTCCCCTTTCCAGGGTTGGAGAGAGGTGGTAAAGCTTCATAAACTCAGAATGTCCACTTAGTAGCTACATGAACATGGCAAACCACATAGCCTCTCAGAGTCTGAGTTATTTCATAGTACTTGTATCATGGGATATAGTAAGTTGAAAAAGAAAGAAGGGGGAAAAAAGAGAGAGAGAGAAGTATTTGCATTCAGAAGCTGGCCTGGCTTTCAGAGCTAAGCCATTTTATTCCTCTGTTATGCATAAAGAGTTTCCCAGAATACCAGCTTCAGGAAAGCTTACTCTGAGACTCTGATGCAATGAGACAAAGTAAGGCCAATTCATAATTTCGTCTGAGCACAGGCAAAAACAAAGTCATTGCAGCATCCACACAATACCAAACACCCCCTCTCTCCGTCCTTATGATTAACTGCTCCTTTTTTATCAATTGCAGCTTTATCCTTCTAGGCTCCCCACCCACCCCCCCGCTCCCCGCCATGAGAAGACTTATTGAGATAGTCAATCATGAAATTACCCCCATGTTCTGACAACATCCGATTTAGAGTGAGTTTTTTTAGACTCTTTCCCAAGTCACCCAATCAAAGTGCAAATCCTATAATAATATCCTTTGCTAATACCCTTTGCTGAGACACCCCATGCGTTTCCTGAACAAGTAAGTAATAAACCAGCTTGTTCTGTGCCATGTGTCTGGGTGGTCTTCGGCTGAAGGACATTGACATGAGTCAGTGGGATTATGTGTATAATGTGTTTGGCACATACTTGGCACAAATAAGCATTAAGTAAATGTTCCGTGTTAGTAACAGTGCGACATTACTAAGGCTGACTTCAGCCTGTTTATCTCCAAACACAATCAATCCTCTCAAAGATGCCTGAAAAATTTCTCTGCTATAAAGCCATTTTTTAGTTAAAAAAAAAAAAAGTAGATGTGGAGGGTACTTTAGACATCATCTAGTGGCTTTCAAACTCTAGTGTGCAGAAAGAATCACCTGTGCTTGTTAAAACTGCAAATTGGTCCTATCCTCTCCCAGGATTTTGTATCTTTAGATGTGGAAAAGGCTCCAGTAATCTTTATTTCCAAACAGCATCAGATCATTCTTGGATCAAACTTTAAAAAACACTGTTCTGGTCTATTCTTTTTTTTTTTTTTCCTTTTAATAAGAAAAACGTGGTGTAGCCATCCCCAGCCAATGTTTTATTAGTGCGTATACATTATTTTCTTTAAACATGTAGGCAGAAGACACTCTGTTTTGTTCTACAAAGTTTTATATGCACATAATGACAGAATTAAAGCAGAAATACCAGTACTTAAATGATAGTGATGATTAGACAGGAAAAGAGGTGAAGATCTCAGAAAATGCTGAATGCTAAACTTCAGTCTTGGGTTCTTTTTTTGTTTTTTTGTTTTTTGTTTTCTGGATCTTTCTCTCTCTCTCCTGGAGCTCCTGTCTTCCCTTCCTTTACCTACCTCTCCAATCTCCCCTCCCCATCACCTGGCCCTGCAGCTGCCTTTCTTGGACCTCATCATATCTCAGCTGGACTGTCCACAGTCTCCCAACTCTGTGCAGTCTTGCCTTCTTCAAAACTGCGTTCTGCCAGCATGCCAGGGTGATCAGAATCCAAACACCTCAAGTCATGTCACTGCTCTTGCCTGAATGTTTGTGTCTCCTCCAAATGCATATGTTGGAACCCTCCTCCCCACTGTGGTGATGTCTGGAGATGGGGCCTTGAGAGATAACTAGGTCTCGGGGGTGGAGACATCATGATAGGATTAGTGTTCTTAGACTCTAGAAAGTTGGGAAAGAGCTTGCTTCCTCTCTCTGGATCTACTAGGACCCTGATCTCCGACTTCCCAACCTCCAGAACTGTGGGAAAGAAATGTATGTTGAAGTCATTCAGTCCCTGGTGTTTTTGTTGTAGAGCCTGAACTAAGGCGGCCGCTCACCTGCTTGAAACGCTTCACTGGCTCTTATTGTCTCTAGCATTGCGTACTGGTTCCTTAGCATGGCACCGTTGACCTGAAATCCTTTGTCTCCAGACTTCCTGATGGGTCACACTGGATAACTTGTTTCCCAATGCACAATATTATTTTCACATTTCTCATTCACCCCCACCCCTGTTTTGCTGAGATATAATTTAAATATTATAAGTGTAAGTTTAAGGTATACAACATATAGATTTGATACATTTATATATCGCAAGGTGATTAGCACCATAGTGTAAGCTAATACCTGCATTACCTCCCATAATTAATATTTGTGTGTGTGCATGTGTGTAAACATTTAAGATCTACTCTTTTAGCAAATTTCAAGTATATAATACAGTATTACTAACCATAACCACTATGCTGTACATTAGATGCCCAGATCCTATTCATCTTATAGCTGGAAGTTTATGCTATCCTTCTCTTGTTTTTAAATATACCGATCCTTCTCACTGAGATATCAGTTCTGCATTTTTCACCCAGAGAGATTTTACCCTTTTTTTTTTTTTTTGAAGTTTCATCTCAGGTATCAATTCCTCTGTAAAGATTTTCTTGAACCTTTCCTACTCTTCCAGGCTGAATTTAATACTGACAACTTGATTCTATCAAGCATCTTGCTTATGCCACTATAATGGTAATTATTACTTATCTAATTATTTTGTTTAGACATCAGTTTCTTGAAATAAATGAAGGCACCCCCTTTCCGGGCCGGGATTATTCCATCTTTATTTTTGTATTCTCACTAAGTGGCAGAATGAACTGGCACACAAAGGCTACTCAGTAAATGCCTGGAGTTTATGAATGTTATTCCCTGGTCTGAAATCCATTGTTATAATAGCCCATGGGACCTGTTTTGAATGCTCAGCACATCAGGCATACACACTCACATCAAAGTTCAGTATTTGCAAATTTCAATGTGTAGGATGACACAAGCACTCTGCATTTGATCTATTTAATGGGCCTTTGTAACAGGGGAGATGAGTAAGCAAAAGAGAGAAAACAGGAATGTTGTGTTGTCCCCTAAACCTTCGGTTCCTTGGTAATTGTGCCTAATTTTTGTGTTTCCTGAGATGTCAAATTAATACCACAACAGCAGTGGCCAATTCTAGAGTATTGTTAGTATCTGAGATCCAGCCAGCTGTTGGTCTTAACACCCACCTTCCTGCTTCCTAGTAACTAATGTAGCCTTTGTATCACACACAAGCTTGGTTAAATGAGATGTGGTCATTTGATTGGCAGCTACCTGGATGAAACTATGCCAAACGAGGCTGAGTGAGACACCAAGGATCACGGTCACAGCACCAGCCTTGAGTTCTCTTTCTCAGCTTGTCTTTGATGACTATTCAACAGATGACAAGCAGATAGGGGGCAACCAATGACCCACCTCTGTTTAACTCCTATGGCTTTCCATTTGGATCAAATTGGCTTTGGTGTGAAAAGTAGTACATGTCTTCTCACTCAAACGACAGGTGGATGTGATTGTCATTTTTATTTTAACAACCCCACAAGAAAATTTGAACCCCTAAGGTCTGGAGAGGAGGGAATAAGACAGTGGCATCATCCAGACCTAACCCTGTGGCAGCAAAGTGGGATAACTGGGGAGGGAAGCCATAATGAGGAATACCTTGGAGGGTATAACTTAATATAGCAGTTTGTGGCACTTCTTCATGGGATGACTTCAGTTTCTTTGCTTAGTGGTTCTTACACAAGATTAGATTGGCCAGAAGACACAATACGTTCAAAGGGAGAAAAGAGGGAAAAAGGAAGAAAAAGATTTAGAATCTGATGCTCACTTTGGCAACATGCATACTAAAATGAGAGTGCTACAGAGAAGATTAACATGGCCCTTCACAAGGATGACATGCAAATTCTTGAAACATTCCATATTGAAAAAAAGATTCAACATGTGGACTTACTATAAACTAGGATATATAGGAAATACTGGTGTGTATAGGGTATACAGGCTGACACTGGGGTTATCTTGAATTGTTTTTTCATCTTCATGGGGAAAAAGGTTAGTGGGATCCTGTGGGATATCCCTTCTCCCATTCTTCTCTTGAAGACTGTTTTCCTCTCAGACCTTTCCCCTCTTTGAGGTTCCAGTGGGTACTTTTTAGAGCAGAAGGCGAGAAGGAGGAGGCATAGGTGAGGAGCTAGTTTGGTTGTATCCCCCTCTGCCCATCCCCCACCTCCCTCTGTTGATTGTTTTTAATGCTGGGATTAGAGGGAGGATACCATTCTCTTCGCCTGTTCCCCTGGGACGGGATGGAAACACAATTTTCAAGAAGAAAAACTTGATCAGTGACATCCAGGATCTCTAATTTTATGTATTTTGGCTTCAAATGTTTCAGGATCATTTCCAGGTCCGAAGTCTGTGATTTTTATGCCTACCAAGCAAATAAAGTAACGTTCAGCACTGCAAGAAGCTTTTGGCTTTCCAATTTATGTCTGCTATGTTATGACTGGCAAACAGAGAACTCTAGCTAATGTCTCCAGGAAGCCAACACTAGTGCTGGGAGTTTAAGGGTTGAAGAACTGGGATTTAGGAAAAATCAATAGCAAATAATTCAAGAATCTGACTTTTTTTCCAGGGAAAGAACTTTTCTAAATAGCCTAACCATGTGCAACCAGTTTGCCCTGAACACTCCTGATTCATGCCTCTTGCCCTGGTATAATCCCTAATAGCACACTCTTTTGCTCTCAAAAATGATTCAGGTTAAGCAACAAATTAGATGCATGTTCTGTTTACAAGCCACATGGATGGTCGATATGGAGCCCTGGAAATCATGGGAAGGAAAGAGACTATAAAAAATGAACAGCCATGTGGGAACAGCTAAGAACAAGGGAGAGAGAAGCAAGAACGAGAAAGAAACCAGGCCACCCAGCAGCAGGTTGGAGCTTGCAGATTGTTTAGAGCATGGCCACATGATATTAAATTTGATATTGTTGTACTTCTGTGATCTAAATTCCCCTCACATTCTCTGTAATGATGTTGGCTGCCCACATGAATGTTTTATGTGAGAGATGGTTCAGGAGCCCAAGGAAAAGGAGCTATATCCCCCACCCCCCCAAATTTATCCTGCATGATCTGGGTCACATGGGAGAAGACAAGATGACCCATCCAATGCAGGAGTTCAGAGTGTAGGGTGACTGGGGAAAGCATACATAACTCATTCCCTTTCCAGAATCACAAGAGATATTGAATACATATGTGTCAGAGAATGTGGGTACACAAGGCTCCCCTCCACATGAGAAGACATTTCAGCCATTTCATTAAAATCTCAAAGAATGGGCTACATTAGATAGATTTTGACCTGAAACTGTCATCTTTGTTGTGGAACTTTGTAAGAAACAGACAAAAATCCCATATTTAATTACTGCAGGGTGCTACTAGGGATGTTGTTTGCTCAGTATTCTCTTTACTAGGAAACTTTCTTTGAGGTTTCAGTACTGGGAATAGTTAGGCTAGTCTTGGATAATTCCTTTATTTGTCTCATGGACTCTGTTAGTCATGGAACTGATCTTGTTTCCTCTCTGTCTTAGCTCCTGGATTCAAATCTGGCTCTAACCTACAACTGACAAAGTACCTTAGAACATGGGACTTGGGCTCGAACTTCATTCCTGGAAGATAAATATCCCCAAAGGAAACATATATACAGTCAAACAAACTTCTCCAGTAAATGTCAATTCCTTGTTTTCCATTTAGTATTACTTTCCAGGTATGGTCGTAATTCTTTACTTCCTATTAAAGTGATAGGAAGCTGAATTCCCTATGTGTATGTGGTTTTTGGTAGAAATCCTGAAATTCTTCTATAAAAGAAGACAGTGAATTCTATTTGCACTGGAAGTCTCCTGGAGGAATGAGGTATTGACATGGAATTGCCTGCTGTTAGAAGGATAAAGAACGCAAGAGGGGAGGGTGACAAGTCCGTTCATTTGCTTTTGAATCTAAAGGAAGTGTCTAGATGCTGAGATGACTTTCCTCATTAGCTAAGATTTAGACTATATAGAAAAGATGATGGAGATAAACTACAAGGATAACTTGGAGTGTTACAGTAAGTCCTAGTTTAACATTATAGCTGCAAATTTATCCTTTTAAGACTAACCATAAATGTCTTTAGCCCAGCTGAATTGAACCCTGAACCTACATGGTTTAGTCTTTAAAAGAATGCTAGCAATGATATCCTTTACTTTATCCCCCTTACAAGACATCATTTCCAGTCATGAAAACTTCTGTCATTATATTTGGCTAAATGCCATTATTGTTTACGAAGTTTTAATAGATTTAAAGAAAAGCAGGACTCCATAGTGCCAGAAACACAAGCTAAATATTTTATTGGACTCTAAAGGAGAAAAGTGGAGAACATAAATACTTTAGTAAAGATCCATTACTCGTCTGAAAGAACCAACTTTGGCATTCGTGGCCCCCCAGTCAAGGTATCTCCTATATTCCCCGGGCCTCAGAAGGTACTGCCTTCCCCTGTAGCTGGGCATCTCATAAAGGACCCAGCAGCCATCCAGCACGTTGAGGGAGTGGATTTCATTGAGATGGAAGCGGTCCTGAAGAGAGAGACAATCATCTGTGGTCTCCGACATTTGTCCTCTGAAGTCCTCTCGCTCGTAGATCCTCATTCTGAACGTGCCAGAGTGCTGAGGAGGCAGACAGAAAAGAAAAGGTAAAATGAAGACAGATGGAGAGAAATTAAAGTTTTATCTCCTACACCTCCCCGGTCCCACCAGCCCAGAATTTCCTGCAGTCTGGGTTTGCTTCCAGAACAATCACACTGCAGTGTTAAAGAGCCTTCCCGCTCCCATCACCACCACCCCCCGCCTCCTCACCAGGCATCTAAGGATTTCTGGGCCATACTAGGGACAGACCTCAGCAGCCCTTCAGTGCTATCCACCTGGTTCTGTCCTTGGCAGCTAAGGTTTGTCTCAGATAAAATTGATCACGTTAGGGCTTATTATTACAGAAGGTCCTTCTCAAAGAAGAAAATTGTAAGGCATTGGAAAGCAAAGTCTTGATCTAGTACTCTGGTGAAAAAGAATCAACATTTAGCTATTTTCTCTAATATTTTTGGTTTTGTGTACACCATAGAACATAAGATTGCTAAGCTTTTGTAGAAAAGAAGATGACGCATTTTCTTTGTCTCTGTTTTGATCACCTCAGTGTCACTTCACATTTCAACCCATCTGACCCTTGAGCTTCCTTTCTGGTCTCTTCCCTCGCCATCTTCATTTCCCTCAGCAGCAAAAATCATCTCCATTGAGCTCTGTTTGGAGGACAGTATACCCCATGCCTTCCACACTCCAGCACATCCTTCTGACAACTGTGCAAATTACTCTCTAGGAAATACTCAATCCTCAACTTTCAGTTTGGAGTTGGCCTTCCCTCTAGTTTATACCACTTAGCGAGCTAATAAATACTGACCATGAAATTAGAGTAAAAACCAGAAGACAGTGCCTATCTTCTCCAAGAAGATCATTAAAAAGAAAAGTGAGCCAAAGCAAGCGAGTGTGTTTTTATCAATTAAGCAGACCCAGATTGTATCTAGAAGTTTTGATATATTATTTCTGAGTGGATACCACTCAGAATGATGACTTTAGGGAGCTGTATCTTAAACACATGACAACTTCTGTTTTCCCAATGTGCTGTTTTCTCTCAATTAGTCTTTGGCTTTTTAATTTTTTTTATTACATCTAAAATACAAAAATCTGGGAAGGTGAAAATGCAAGCCGCAGAGTTCATGAAGAATGGCTTCCCGTCTGAGACCTCCTCCTTTGGAGTGCAGGCAGTGGGCTCATTCTTGCTTTCTGCTCTCCAGTTGGAATGATTTGGTTGAAAAATGATATTTGTTCATGGTTTTCACTTCCAAAGAGACCAGAGACGAGGACAGAGCCACACTCACCTGGGGGATGAGGCGGCAGGAGCGGATGGAGTCGTTGAGGCCCATCCACTGCTGGTAGTCCGGGTAGTCCCCGCGCCGCAGGAAGTACTGGTGGCCCTGGTAGTTGGGGCGCTCATAGAGCATCCAGCAGCCGCTGTCCACGCGCACCGAGTTGCAGCGGCTGAAGTAGGGCTGCAGGTTGGGGCAGTCGCTGCTGCACTCGTAGCAGCGGCCCTGGAAGCCGCGGTCCTCGTAGAAGGTGATCTGCAAAATGGAAGATGTGGGAGCATGAGGCGATTTGCCCCCGCTGAAGCGGCTGAGCCGGGGCCAACCCTGAGCCTCAGATACCCGGCCCTTACCTTTCCCATTTTGGAGCGAGTGAGCAGGAGGCGGTGGCTGGGTGCTGTGAGGGCCGAGGGGGAGTGCCGCTGTATATATAGCAGCCCTGACTGCTGCCTCCGCAGGAAATCACACAAAAGGGGCCCATTTCGGTGAGTAAGGGGATTTGCCAGCTCCCTGCTCCTCCTCCCCCTGGCCATCGGGGTTAGCTGAATGGTTTACTCTCATTCTTTCTGGTAGGTTCGGGTTGTTCTAATTCACTAAAGCTGTTGTTGCCACCAAAATGAAAAGAGTCTTTACTCTTTTAGTTGAGCACGAGGATGAGCGAAATTCTATCCCCGTGCTTTTATTTTGTCTCCTACTCTGCTTAGTTGACTCCTCAAAGGTAATTAAACTAAGTAATGTATTCTGCTCCGGGACTGGTGGTTGGTTTTGTTTTTTAACTTTTATTAAAAATCAGAATTTAAACAATAGGGGGTCTTACGGAAGAGGGCATCAAGTGAAATAATCTGTGATGGTGCTTTAAAAAGCATAAAGCTTAGTTCAAATTCGAGACTCTGTGGTCATTATTGTTGTTATTTTAGGGTCTATCTTGAGTAAAATTGATACTTGACTGGAAATTTGTAGGCTCCTGGAGGCTGGGAATACTTTCTGACTCCTTTCT